CCCCCCCCCCTACCTTCCGCCGGTACCTTCCGCCGGTCATTCATGCGACTACGGAGCCCCACCATACTTGCATCGCATACAACCCTAAACACCCCCCCCGCATGTAGCACCGGTCGCAAGCGAGACGAGACGACTCACTCGGTCCACGAGTAACCTAAATGACTTCTCTAAACGCCTCCACATCTTCGGAGTCACCGCGGCCAAGCCCCAAACGCCTTTTTCTCCATCCCTGTATCTTCGGTGAGAGTCCTCGGTGGCCAAAAACTCAGTTGGATTCAGACTACCAAATCGTTCTCCTCCGCGTCGCCCCCGGCGGCGGCGGCGGCCTGCCTGCTGTTCTCCTCCGCGCAGGCCAAGAACCCCAGAACCTCCTCCTCGTCGAGGGAAGGCAGAGACAGGCCCCCGCCGAGCCCCCCCGCCCCCCCCCCGCCGCCGGCGCCCCCGGTGTTGGCGGGAGCGGACAGGCCAAGGCCGTACATCAGGGGCGACGCGCCGGCCTCGTGGGCCTCCTGCGGGTGGTCGAGCCAGAGGCCCGAGGTGATGTCGAGGGAGTGGCCGCCGTCGCCACCGCCGCCGCTTGCGCCGCCGGCGCAGCCCGCGGCGGCGGCGGCACACGCGGTGGCGTTGTCGGCCTCGACGTGACGGCTAACCTCGCTGGCCATCGCCGCGTCGGAAATGGGGACGTCGGCCTGATGGTCGATGGCCGGTGACGGCACCATTGGCTCCATCATGCCCCTGAACATAATGGAGGGGGGGGGGAGGGGGTCGGTGAATCACTAATATCAATCAATCAAATCGGACTGGGAGACAGGGTGATAGGGCGAGTATGCACGGCAGGGAAAAAGAAGGGCAAGTCAATTGACTTTGAAGGATATCCTAATTGTTCTCCGATCGTGTTGGTCCTGTCGGCAAGGACGCGCCGCCTTTCGTCGTGTCATCCTTTGCGACTCTTGACACGCAAGGGCCACGCAAAAACAACTACCGTGTACGACACAAGATAACACATCCCCTGGACCGATTTTCAAAGCTGCATTACTTGACGATGAAGAGGATTCATAAACGAAACGATACGTTTTCGGAGAGCTCTCCACCAGACGACTTCAACGCCGCCATTGTCGGCGCTGTGACTCTTCCTGCCGTGGAGAAATCGAGCTTTGAAAATCGGTTCAGGGGGTGTCTTATCCTGTGATATATAAGGTACCCCCCTCAAAGGGTGCGAAGTAGCCACCACACGACAAATCAATCTTCACTGCTGCCGAGCGAAACAACAAAGGGACGACGCTCACCGGTGCTTGGCGCTGGAAACGTCCTCCTGATTGTGCGAGTTGTCGCTAGTCAAAACGCCCCCCGGGGACATGTCGACCTTGTTCTTGACAATATGACAAAGAAGGGATCCAAACACGTAGCGCGCCACCAGTCACGGGGGAGCGTAAGCAACGGGGGAGAGAGAGACTGTGAGCAACGTCACCGAAATGAGAACGTCAGCGCACCATAATGTGTCCGCGAAAAACCAAGGGTGGGTCAATGTTGTAGGAAGCTCTGCAGATAGGAATGTGAACTTTCGCTGGTATCCCTTCCCCCGGGAGTTCCGCAGTATCAGGCAATGCTTGTGTTTTGGAAGGCTCCTGCAGCCTCCTCTGGGTCAGAAGCCGCGTTATATTGCGCTAGTAGGGTATAGGTGAGCGATTGTGCCGTCCCCACAGCGCTGTGATGAGAGTGACGCCTCATGCACAGTTTGGATAGAAGTGCGATATTGGGTTGAGAAGAGATTGAGGTTTGAGAGGTGTGTACCCTGTTCATCAAGAGTGCACCTTGCGGGCTAAAACTAACAAGAGACCACATTTGACCCTTCTTGCGCGCTTCAGTAACCCGTGACATCTTCTGAATACCGACATACGTCGACCAAGCATTCCTTGGACCCGACGTCTAGCAGGACCCACTCTACTAGAAGAACCACACCTTCTTCGGTGATTGGTTCACAGAGCTCCACATCAGACAAAAAACCCGCCAAAACGCTCTATACCACAGTGAGTCTAGACACGAAGAAAAAAAGATGGCCGACAGTGTAGAACCCCAACAAACCAGTACGCACCGACCGCAGTCTTGAGGTGTACCCTGTGACAGGGGGCGCGAACGGCAATATTAAGGGTCTGGGACATGCATCCCCGCCCCCCAAGCGATGGGTGCATAACGGGGGTGGGGGGGCAGGGGGGCGTTGTTTTCCTGCCTTACTGCCTCGAGGGTCAAACAAGACGCCATAGATCGGTCAACCTGTGGATTCATCCTCCCCCGTGTGCGGCCTCCCTCCCGAAACTAGGTGAAGGAAGCACGCTGTTGCTGCTACAGCAAATGCTGCTGCTACAGCAAATGCCGCCGCTACTACTATCGACTTATGGATCGATCCTCCCCCGTGTGCGACCTCTCTCACGAAACTAGGCAAAGGAAGCACGCCGTTGCTGCTGCTGCTGCTGCTGCTGTTGCTGTTCATGCTTTCTGCCAAGCTTACCGTGCTGGAGGGGAGCTGCTCGGGTACGACGGTCCGGTGGTGCTGGTGGTCGCTGCCCGCGGACGTGGAGACGTCGGTCGTGTCGGAACCGCTCCAGGTCTCGACCGGCGGCTGGAAAAACGCGCCTGCAGGGTGTTGTAGCGAAAAGAATCGCGACAACAGAAGGAAGAGTGGTAGCGAGGAAGCGGCCGGCGCACAAGAAGGCAGAAGACGTGAGCACGTGAGATCGATCGAGAGCACTGGGCGAAGGGGTGGGATGTGAGTTGGGGTGGGGGACATCCTTCGTGCGCCATGTTCATATGTGTAAAACCCCCTTGCCTGGTGCTACATCACGAAGCTACAAGCGACCTCATCGCATTTTACCTCCACGCAATAAGCCCAACACACGTGACTACTGCTATTATTTAACAGCAGTGTCGCGTCCTGAGAAACCAGGCCGCGGTTGAACTGCTGTGGTTCCACCCTATTCTGCTCACACAAGGCCTCGGATTTGACACGCACCTCCCCCCCACCCCGTGCTTCAGTGCGCGATGCCTCCCGTTCGCCTAGGTTTTTAACACCCCACCCCACCCCATCCCGCCCTGCTTTAGTAGGCGGCGCCCCCCCCCGTCCAGTGCTCTCTCTCACCTGGTGCGGAAAGCGAGCGCTCGTCGATGAACCACCGGAACGGCCCCGCGTCGTCCGCGTCGAGACCCCCCATGTCCAGCCCTGCCCCGGCCATCCAGGCGTCCTGGGGCTTGGTGCACCAGGAGGGGGCCAACTGCTGCGGCAGGTGGTGCATCACCATTTCCGAGTGCTCCGTTTGCGGCACCGGAAACGACATGAAGCTGCTGTAGTGTAGTAGCAGTGGAGTTCGTTGGGTCGGGGAGAACGAGGGGGGGGGGGTTAACGCCGATCCTCTTGTACTCCAGCAGCTGCCGCCTTTTCTGGGAGCAAAGGAGGAATGTCTAGACTCCCCATCAACGGGTGTAGCGGGGGTAAAATTCATCACGTAACGGTACGGTGGCAGAAAGAGGCCTTCTGCCATGCATGCAGAACGTGACGTGGACTGGATATTCAGACGACAAGTCACCGTCTTCGACGGGGCATGTGCATGCGCCTTACACGACATCAGCATTCCCCTTGTCGATTCCACAGATGACGCGGGCAAACTTATGTAAAGACTGCAGCAGTTCGTGGCAAAAATCAAGTTAGCGAGAGTCGTAGCGAGGGAAGGGCGCGTCGTGGAAGACGGCACGCGTCAGCGGCGGCGAAAGACCGACAGACAGCGAAACTCCGATCAGACCTGACGGGGTTCAAAATTTTGGAACAAATAATTTATCCACGGATCCCTTCATACTTGCAAAATACACTATCCTCGGTTTCGTGTTAAAATATGCATGCAAATAAGAAATTCTGCGTACCACCTCACCCCCGTCTCATCCTTCTCACTTGACATCCGCCACAGAAGTAGGACTAATCCGTGTGGTCTGAGACGACCCGGTCGTGCGCTTGAGGCTCTTGATGGTCTTGCCGAGCGACGAGTCGTTGCTGCTGCTGCTTACGCTCTCGCTCCGGTAGCGCTTCATCCCGGCAAAACCACCTACTACACCATCAGCAGCAGCAGCCTCCTCGTCCTCCTCTCCCGCGGCAGCCTTCGCCGCCGCGGCCTCCCACGCGAGCGCGCGGGCGTCGGCCGCGCCGCCGGCGGCGGCAATGGCGGCGGCCTTGGATGCCTTCGTCGGGGAAGACCGGTGGCTTTTGGCCGGCCGCCGCTTCCTCCACGTACCGGCGGCGGCGGCGGCGGTGCCGCCGTGCAGGAGCGACGACGAAAGACCGCGGTTGTTGTTGTTGTGTCCCTCGATATCCACGCTCTCGTCCAACTCCTTCTCCCCCGCCTCCTCCTGTCGTTTTCGGGTGCCGCAAGATTGGATCAAGAACGTTTGGGTTGGTGGCGGTTGGCGCAAATCATGCCGTGTCCGAAAGATGCATGCACGCATGCATGCCGTCCATCGACGCGAGATTGGCTTAGTAGTGGGAGCTTTGGCTTGCTATGGCAGAAAGAGAAGGGAGAACACGCTGTCGGTGATCGTTTGGGGGCGACTGCGACAGAAGCAATACATCTTCATTCCAGCTTTTGCCTTCATGTCTTCAAGAAGCTAGATGCATGGTCGTCTATCCAAGCGTTGTTGTACGCGTGGCAGCGCAGGCAGCACACAGCGTAGTAGTGCGAAGTAACCCACAAATTAATAAAAGAGTTACAAGAGAGGACGTGCATGACAACCTGTGTTGTCATGCGCAGCGTGATTGGAGGGCGGTCGAATCGGTTCGGATTCGGAGCCGCTGCATCAATTCATGGCAAAAACTTAAACCCGACGAAAAAAACAAAAAAACGTGCAGGTGGGGGCGACAGCTACCACGCAACAAACCGACCGCTGTGTATGGGGCCCGCCGATTTCCAGGCTTTTAACATACCTCATCAAACTCCGCGCCATGGGCACCACTGCTCTTGCCACCACCGACCGTAAACGCAGGCGCTTCTTCTGCTTGCCTCACCATCATCATCATCGTCGTCGTCGTCGTGCCCGGCGTCGTCCCGCGGTACCCACCTTCCCCGTCCTCCTCTTCGCTTTCGCTCGATCCGCCGCCGCCGCCGCTGCTGCCGCTGCTAACGCTCCGCCTGCGTCGACGGGTACGCGCGGTGGAGCTGCTGCTGCGGGCGTAGTCGTAGCTCGCCTCGCTGTTGGTGTCGTACTCTTGGTCATCGTCGTGTCTGGTTTTCCGGGGTTTTCGAGGGGGAAGCGACACGAACTGTTTCACAATACCATACCATACCATACCATACCATCATGGCACACAACCACAGGAGCACGAAAGCGAGGGATAAATCACACAAGGGTTTTTACGTGGGCGAGGGGGATCGACCGCATGGCGCGTTCCACGACGTGGCATGGCGGCACAAGCACCGTCGTGGAGGGGGCACCTACCTCGGGTGGCGGCCACGATTGCGTCGCTTCCTCAGGCTCCTGAGCCTCCCTTCCGACTCCGCCGCGCTGTTCGCCATGGTGCTACTTCGCAAGTTTCTGCAGACAAGAAAAAAATATGGCAACAAAATTATCAGAGCAAGAACATCATCATATCATCACGTGCACTATATCATGTGCAACACACACTGTTTGCAGACAAAAAAACGATTTCAAGCATATGCATGCATGCGCACACCAACAAATGTGTAACTCTGCAAAACGGCCGGCATGCATGAGAACAAGTACATCGCTGGTTGCTGCCCACCGGTCCAACACACCTACTTGCATGTCGAGCGCGCATGGGCAAGAACCCTGTGCCCTACTGCTGTTGCTATAACTCCTCCTCCTCCTCTTCCTCCTCCTTACCGTGACACAGAGGCGGGGCGAGGCTTTCCAGCGTCCATGGTGCTCATGAGGGTCGCGGGGTCTAGGTGTGACGTTCCACTAGCCTGCGCCTTGGACAGCTTCTGGAAATACTTCTGGGCATGAGTGCTGCGGGCAACAAACACCACACGTGGACACAACAAACAGCGAGAGCCATGCGGCCGGGTGGGCATGGAAGGTCGTTGAGCGGAAAGCTTTCAAGCGATTACGCGCGACGTAGGAACCAAGGGCCCATCCTTACGACGGTTCACGCGTTCCAGGATGTGTAGTGAAATTGGGGGGATATTGAGTCTCTGTTGCAGAGTGTTCTATCGGGTGGCGTTCACGTCGTCATGTATTAAGTCGTTGGTGGCCAAAGTATTATTTTCGACTTGGCAACTTTTGTTTGCTGCCCCCAGCCTTCGTTTCGTCAAAGGCTATGCCTACTAGGCATAGATGTACATCGGAGGTCATTTTTTTTTTGGAGGACACCCAAACTACAATTGTTGTTGTTTTTCTTCACATTAAACTCGTGTCAGTTGCTAATCCCAAAATCTAGCAAAGACTCGGTCCGTGGTCACAAAAATGCTAGAGCCATCAGAAGATCTAAAGGACACGCACACCATTAGCAAGACAAGGGGACACAAGCCCGAGGAGGCACACCTGCAATCCCTGCAGCACGTTTGCATGCTCACAACTGAACTACACGCCCACACACTACAAATCGACTACAGCAGCAGCATCACCCCCCTTGTCCCGCATTTAACCAAAATGAATGAAGACTACCGGTACTCGTTCGAGACGGAGCTGCCGCAATCGGAGGCATATCAGCGCAGCCAGTGAATGAAACTTGTGTTATAACTCAATTATTCATGTCGTCTATTTGTGTCCATCCAGCATCTTTGAGACCCACCGAAGCTCGTTTCGTGTCCATGCAAGTCCATGAGGAAAGAACATCGACATCAGATCATCATTGCGAGTAGACCATGCATACAAAAAGGGCAAACTGCACAGATCTTTGAAAAGCCAAGGACAAAGTTGCATTCCTCACAAGGTGAATGTCTGGGATAGAATGACGCTGCTGCCTGCCGATACGCTCGAAGCCTCCTACTTTTTATTAACGTACACATAATGATCGCGGACGGGCGTTGTCTTTCTGGCCGCACTCCTTTTAAGGTTCAAAATTCAAATTTCAAACACCGAACACGTACACATCCGCCGGAAAGGCGAGTTATTTGCTTTGCACTTTTAATTGTCTTATTTTTGTAAAAGGTTTGCGTGCAAATTCTTTCAGCCATGCAATATCAAAATTGACAATCTTTCAGCCACGCCATATCAAAATTGAAAGGCACCGTCTTCCACACGCATGCATAACGATAGCCCTGCTGTGAGCGTTTTGATCTGCTGCTACCTTCCCTCTCCACAACGGCGGTGGCGTTGGAAACGCCTACATTCATAAGACCATGAAAACGTAAGAAGGAGAACTGACTGGCTTGATAGAGGGGGACGGGAGGGGGCCCAGGTCCAAACAGCAAGTAGACAAAACAGAGCCAAGCGCGCAGGCAGAAGCAGGCAGGCAGGCAGGCCGACAGACGGGCAGGCAGAACGACCCGTTCGTCTTCCCCCTGCACCGCAGCATTTGCTGCTGTGGACATACATACGAGGTCGCGCAGCTACGTAGTTTGAAGGATGGTTTCCAGGGAAAATCGCGGGAAAGGGGGGAGGGAGGATGGACAAGGTTCATTCCCGTTACCGCAAACAGCATCTGTTGCTTTTCGCTTTCACCACATCCTTGAGGCAAAGCGCAACGCACAAACACGCGAAGGAGTCGGCGAGCGAACGCAAAAAGAAATACCAACGGGCAACCATTTCTTTCTCCTCTGCTGCTGCTGTGTGGAGTACCCTCTCTCTCTCTCTCTCTCTCTCTCTCTCTCTCTCTCTCTCTCTCTCTCTCTCTCTCTCTGTCTCTCTCTCTGTCTCTTCTCTCTCTCGCTGTTGTTGTTGTTGTTGTTGTCTTCACATTAAAAACCGTTCCGATCTCTCTCTACCCAGTACCTTCGTATGTCCGTACTGATCCAACACTCGACGCGGTCGATTCCGGTGGTCGCAGGTTAACTTACCCTTCAAAGGTACNTCTCTCTCTCTCTCTCTCTCTCTCTCTCTCTCTCTCTGTCTCTCTCTCTGTCTCTTCTCTCTCTCGCTGTTGTTGTTGTTGTTGTTGTCTTCACATTAAAAACCGTTCCGATCTCTCTCTACCCAGTGCCTTCGTATGTCCGTACTGATCCAACACTCGACGCGGTCGATTCCGGTGGTCGCAGGTTAACTTACCCTTCAAAGGTACACACTCAAATAAACTGGCCCCGAGGGGTCCGCAAGTCAATAGAAATCAACGACAGATATTCTGGAGTCCTCCAATCCCTCTGCGCGCTATGCGATGTAATAACTGAGACTAGGAGGCACCATCACGGGCCGGAGAGAAAGAGGTACACGCTGTAGATGGAGGTGAGCGGTCATTTTTTGGTGAAAAAATACCACATGCAAACATCTTGGATCTTCGAATATGGTTGGCAGATAAACGGCCTGCCCAAACTGTTCATATATCCGAAGGAATATTCTTCATCTCTCGCCGAAAGAAGGACAACTGCTACTATGACGCGCATGTACCTCATCTGCTGCACACACCTGAACTACAGAACAACCGATGACTCCGTCTCTACCCGAGGTTGTGCGGACTGTTGAAAAAACCACACTGAACCCACCGGATTTGAACGACGGTCCTCGTCTGGATGAGGGTGGCAATCTGCTTCCACCCCTTGCCGTGAAGCTCGAGGCCCCTCAAGAAAAGCCGGTGCTCGTCCGAAGTCCACCGCCCTACAAAAAAGCACGTTCCGTCACATACCCATACATACAATTACGCACAACAGTAAATTAATTGCATCCGGAATTCCGTGCAGCGAAGGAGCACACAGCAGCAACCATGGATGAACATACCGGCGGCGGTAGTAAAAATTGGAGGGAGAGAAACAAGAACGTAGGGAAGGAGGAGGGGTACGATTGGTCTCGAGCGAAAAAAAATGGCGTCAAACCTGCACGTACCGCAACAGTCGCACGTGATGTGGGTAACTGCTGCCTTGTCTACCACGTGTTTATCCACAAAATGCAAATGGTATCGGCGAGCGTGTACAGACGGAACGATGAGCCAACCAGCTCTTGTCGTCATTGTGGGTTATTTGCTCGGCACACAGAAGGTGTTGGTAGGCAGGCCGCGCTTCTGTACATTATCAAATCTGCTGTCACTGGCTTTCCCCGCGCAGTCGTCAGAGGAAGAAATGACGTGTGATATCGTACAGCAGTACATGTGAAACGACGTCCCTCTTTGAGAAGCGCGGGTTGTGCGCGACTCACCGGTGTTTTCGTTGCCCGGCTGGCACACACCCTCGTTGTCCAGGTTATCACTGCTGCTGGCGGCGCCGTCGACTACCTTGAGTTGAGACATGTCTCCCGGCACAAGCTGCACCTCCTGCCTTCTTTTGCGTTATTTGCCGAAAAAAACAATATTGACGGGTGAAAGAAAAAAGATGAAATCCGATGTTCTTCTGATGGGGGCAGCAGGAAGGACAGCGGCACAACAACAACAGCGCACCTTGCAGCGCCCACCGCCGTCGAGGTAGTCCAATGAGCCACAGACGTGAAGGGGCACCCACTACCACGCACGGATAGATAAGCACACGTGCCTACGTGGCTGCTAAGTCACACGGTCGTGCCGGCGCGAGCGTTCATCCCGCATGTGTAATTGATTGCAGTTGGCCAGACGTGCCGTACATCCCGCTGCTGCTGGCAGCCCTCCGCTTGTACATATTTTTTTGGGTAACGAACGTTCTCTTCAGCAGAAAATCGACTTTCAAATCGGGCAACCACAATGCTGCTGTGTGTTGCGCAGGATATATCCGTTCACCTCTGTTGTGGCCATCGCACAAATGCAGCCAATGCTCTTGTCACTTTCCTACCCGCGTGCTTCAAGGAAGTTGCTGTGCAAACTGCAACGAGCAACGGACTTGAACTACACACACCGCCAACAGAGAGAGTACGGTCTCGAGGCACGCGCCGCGGCTTTGGCGGAGAGGCATATGCTGCTGCCAAAAAACAAAAACGCCCCGCCATCATGACGCCTGACAACCGTTCCCTCCGTTTGCCGACAACGCCCCGAAGGAACGGCACCACAACGACAGCACCGACGAGCTCATACGAGAAGTTGGCTTCTACACGACAACGCCGGGTAACGCACGCACACAGCTCTGTGCCCCGGGGCAGCTACCCAACGCCTGTTCTAGAAAGCACACCTGTTCTCTCGCGCAATTTGCGGGTGCAAAATCGAAGGAGCTCCCACACACGGACACACAGGAATGTTGCTCTCTCAGCCCTCTGCTCTGATGCTCTCACCTCGATTATCAGTCTCCACACGCCGTGCAGCGACAGGCTCTCCTCTCGGAAGCACTTCCCGTTGAGACAGAGCGCTTTGCAACAACAACAACAACAACAAGCTGCGTGCTTTCTCTCTCCGGTTGGTTGCCCTTTTTCTATCGCTTACGCAGTTTGTTCCTCCACAGCAACAACCTCTCTTTCCAGCTAGAGGAACAACCCGCCGTTCGTTTGTCGGTGGTGGTTGGTTGGTTGCCAACCCCGTCGGTGTGTGAGCACAGCAGTAGCAGCAGCAGCAGCAGCAGCAGCACTTAATGCAAAACTTGTCTTTTCGAGAACTCCTGTCCTAAGCCGCCGTCGTACCCGTCGTGTGTGTCTGTGTGTGTCCTTCTGCTGGCTGAATACGGTAAAGTTGGTATGTAGGGTAAAAGAGTGCATTGTGTGGCCAGCAAGTCATCCGAAAGCACGCACGACCCACCAAGATCCTTCGGCGCCACGAGTCGCCCTTCGTGTCAAATCTTCCGTTACACACGGAAGTTTAGCCTGGAAGATCCTGATTCTTTCGTGGTCTTTTTCTTTGTGCATATCTATCTCCATCTCTCTCTCTCTCTCGCTCTACCGAACGGTGATGATGGTCGTTCCTGTTCAGAGCGAGCAGCAAATGCATATCGCGGCTGTACATACGCTCTGGGATATGCTGATGATGGTGTGGTTGTTCAAACCATGTAAGCCTCTCGGAAACGATAATTCACAAGAAAGCACCCACAATCGGGAGGTATATTTATGTGTCAAAGTTGTCTGCGTCAATATACTGATGTTGCCATCAAGTAAACGAAAAGTGCAAAGAGCGGGGGCTTTAGCGGCGAACGCTCTGGGTGCACGGACGTGCGGCCTACTCACCATTGCTGTGTGCTACTGCTGTTCAGCAGAGGTATACAGCTCAACAAAAGCTGTGTATGCAATGACAACGAATGATGCAAGTTGCGTGAAGATACGTGCGTCCACAGCAGCAGCAGCAGTCCGTGTGTTCACAGGGGAAAGGCTATCTTGCTGTCATCCATTTTTTTTTTGTGTGAACGGCGTGTAGATAGACTACACTGACACTGTCGAGTGGACTTCATACCAACCGGGAATATCTGCCACCTTTGAATTTTCGGGAATGTAAGGCCACATTTGGAGTTTACTGGATTGTACTGACCCTAGGTGCCAGCATCCACCAGAATGATGCAGTGATGCATTAGGGGGTGGTCGAAAGACGTCCTGTGGGGAGGGGGATGGTTCCATATCATCTGCTGCTCGAGCAACCAAACTGCTGCTCAACTCTCCTTGTGTCGCCATGGGCCAACTTGACGTTTTCGCTGCCCTCGAAAAGGTCGTCGATCGCAGCGCATGTCTATTTCTCTTTCAGATTATTTCTGCTTGCATTCCCAGGAGCACCTCCAGCAACGGACATCGTGATCAGAGTATGGGAAGGCACGTTACCGTAGATATTACTTTTCGAGCTCTGAGTGCCCCTACTACGGATGCTGCCGGGACATAGATACGTGGTGTTGAATCGGAAATATAGCAGATTTGACCAGAGTCGTTGGTCTGACGGAAAAATCAATTGAAAAAAACGTTTCAAAAAAAAAATGCGGAGTTGTTGGGCCGCATGTATCAATGTCCAAATGTGGCTTCGATATTCCCGGCCAGAGTGGTACAGCAGTAGTCAATTCGTCGTCTGGAGACGCGTGATGACCACCACATCAACATTTTCTCAGCACGGATAACTGCTGTGATGCATGTACGTGAACAGCAGGCTGCCCTAGGCGTGCAATGCACAGCCCCGACGCCGCCAGCAACGTAGTCTAAAAGCTAAACTAGTAGTGGCGGTAGCACACATGTTACACACGTTCGTCGACTGATTCCCACCTTGCACAATCAATTGTTGCCTTGCTTGGCTACACATAGAGAGACTCTCTGTATGCAGCTCCCTCTTCGGCGATTTCGCACACTTGCGTGCATACTCAAGTTGTGTCCCCCCACCTACACAAGCACTACAAGCAGCGGAGACCATGCAACAAATACACGGTGTACGGCAGCGCTCACGACCACGACAACAACATGGTCTGTCCAGCTTCCCCCTCTCCGTACACCTTCCTCCTTCTCAATCCATTTGCCCAAGCGAATCCAAATTTAGACAAAAAACACTGCGCAAGAGGTAAGGATCAAACACTTGAATCATAACTTCTTAACAAACTACTACTAGTACAATAATACCACATATTTTTGTTTACCCTGGTGCCGTGTATGCCGCTCGGGATGGTGTTCACGCACGCAAGGTTTGTACGAGTAACAGCCAGCCATTGGCAGCGGGCGTTTTCTCTCGATGTGTCAGGGCTCGTGGAGAGCTGGCGAACCCCGCGCACCTCTTGCCACAACTGCACGTGTATCTTCCTGAGTTTTGCCAACGAATGAGCAACTGCAAAAACTACTTGTGTCAACACCTCCACCAGTCGTCTATACACCAGCAACCATCTCGGCGTACCGCGAAACGACATATTTCGAAAGGGTGAGCGCGGTGGGGATACGCCCAGAGACTTGGCATCAACTTGCTCTATACCCCTCTACCCGAACTCAGCCATTCTGCTTAAAACATCGCATCCGGTCGACCCTTCATTAATCTCTCTCGAGGCAATCAAGAACGCTTCACAGCCGGGACCAGCTCTGATCTTCCCCCTTTTGCACCAGATCTTGAGCGACTGCTATTGAGTCCCTAAGGGGTACTGCTGTATCCACCCCCCCCCCCCCCCCCCCC